AAGATGGGATATAGTTGACTGGAACAAAGATCAAGGAAGATTATGGATTGATGGTTACAACATGAGATGGCCAAGCAAGTATAAAAGGAAGACTTGAGGAATGAAGAAAAGAACGACATCCACAACCACTCACAAAACGTGATATTCCTCTAGGAGTAGTTTAATTTGGTAATTGTTAGGAGTAGATTAAATGATTGATTTTCCAACTCCCATTTCTTTTCTTCTATCGATTACTGTATTTATTCATTTCTTTGTTCTTGTTTTGTGACTGGTAGCAACTTAGCAAGTGATAATTCAATTGAATAAATACATATTTTGTTCTGTTCTATCTCTTCTTTATTTATTTACCTCCAAGGAAGTTTTTAATCTGTTTAAGGTATAACTCTACCACAAAGCCTAATTTTTATTTGTGTTTATTTAAAATTTATTGAAGTCCGTCGATCAATCACTGTCGATTGGATTTAAACCAAATTTTTGCTAACAGTAAGCCTTAGAGAAAAATAATAATTCAAATATTATTTTATCTTAGGATCCGTTTGATTAGAAAGAAAATTTGTTAGAAAGTGAAAATAAAAGAAAATGAAGTGAAAGAAAAGAAATAGAAAAGAAAATATATTTTCTTGCAAGCATTTGATTAAAATAAAAAAATTTGTAAGAAAAATATAGAAAAATTTAAAAGTTTAGATATAGATAACGCATTCAATTTTTCTTGTGTTTTCTTGTATTTTTTGCAAAAAATTAAAAATTAGTTACAATGCTAATATAGATTGTACAAGATAATTTTCTTATACTTTTCACCATTTTCAAATTAAACAAACTCATAGAAGTTAAATTTTTTTTTCTTCCTTATACTTTCTATCTATTTCATTCTAAACAAACAGAGTCTTAAATAAAAAGACGTGGTTAAGTTTTTGTAAAACACGTGAATGTTATAAAATTTGTTTAAAAACTTAAAATGATTAAAGGCCCTTTCTTATTGCTCCAAAAAATCTAAAAACTTGTGGTAAAAAATAAGGTATTGGATTCTACGCAGTTGGTACGGTCTAGTTTGGCCCATTTTGGGTCTATCTCAATAATCTAAATCAGTCAATGTATAGGACTTGTTGAGTATTCAATCCATGTAAAAAATCACGTCGATCGAATATCAATAGCTACCTGATCGGATCACATTTCTATCAACAATTTATTTTTAAAATCATATTTACCGTTAACACAAATTTGAATAGATCAAGTGGCTATCGATATCCGATCAACATAATATTTTGCAAAAATAAAATACTTGACGAGCCCTACACATTTAATGGTTCGGATCATAGATGTGAACTCTGTAGTGGATCCACGTAGGTCTAATAACACCATCCAGTCTAATTTCGAATTGGAGAGAAGCCTAAGCCAAAAAACAAACTAGGGTTCTTAATTGTCTCAAGAATTTTGGGATGTATTAATGGCATGGTTATTCTCTAATGGATCATGGAAAATTATTTAGTACGCATTACTTATATGGTGTTAGTTTTAGGCCAAGCTTAGTATGGATTGCATTTTTTTTTAAATAATAAAAAGTCAAAAAATTATTAAAAATTTCAATTTCCAAATGAAACTTAATAAAAGAAAATTATAATAAACATTAAGTATATACTAACGAGATCGTTTTTTGTTTTTTAATTATGTAAGGATAACATTCAAGAATTCAAGTTCGACTTCGAATCTCTTAGAAGGCTACTAAAAGTTTGTCCCATCATTAATTTGTAGGCCATTAAGAATTAATTTCCGTTGTTCAGATCCGAGGTAACTCGGATCTGGAGGTAACTCGGATCTGGACTAGGCCAGAGATACCTTGCATTATAAAAAATAAAAAATAAAATTTTCAATAAAGTGAGTAACTAAATTTTATCTTATAAAATTTTGTGTTAAATAATTAATTTGAAATACTCTATAGACAATATTTCAATAATTACCAAATGAATCATGTGATAGCGCAAAGTAGGCCACGTTATTGGTATATTCAAAGTGATGGAAGTCATAGCTGTTAAGGGAGCAACGATTTTATGTCCTCAAAAATTTATGGCCTTGTTTGGTTTGTTTTTTAGAAACATTTTTGGAAAAAATTCCCTACAAACAAATTTTCAAGAGTAATCAAATCAAACAAATTTTTTCAAAAAAAATCTCAAAAATTTGTTTGGTTACCTACTTTCCAAAATCACTCTCTCTCTTTCATATACATCAAATCAATCACTTTTTTTAAAACTCTCTTTCCAAAACCATTTCTAAAAAAACAAACCAAATAAGTTTTCGTACTTTTTATCTCAAAAACTACTCTACAAATGTTTTCCTATCTAAAATCACTCATAATTATTGGATCATATGAGAATTTTAAAATTTATAAATTTTAAGACATATTCAATAATTGTGAATGATTTGGGACATGAGCACCGAAATTTTTAGGGAGAGATGAGTCTTGAGCCTGTTAAGGTATTTGAAGTCAAGGACAACAGTACACATTTAATTTTAATGTAGATGTTGACATCTCTCTCTTGGTATCAGATGTCTAAAACAATCAATGGGTGCCAACAATGAGTTGGGTTAGTGCACAACTACATATGCTACTATTAATATCACTAGAATTGTTGCTGAATTGCATTATTACAGTTCGGTTTTGTGATGATTGTTAAAAGAGTATAATTTCTCTCGTATTTTTAGAATCAATTTTAAAGATTTGATTTGTTTATTTTTTAAGACTCGTTGATAGATGATTGAATATCAATAATTATGTTTGAATTATATTTGTTAAAAAAAAAAAAAAACGATTATTCTTTCAAATACAAATGTTCTCTTAAGTTGAGATGATAACTTAAAGAGAAACTAAAATGTTTGACAAATACCTAAATTCATTAATATGGTATAATAATCCTATTGAATTGTTGACTCATTTGAAAGTTTAAGGGATAATTTTATTATTTATATTATATTTTTAACAGGTCTCTTCATATATGGTTGAGTAAGTTGTGAGGATTGAACACTGAATCTATTGCTTACTTTGATATCATTTTGAATTATTAATTACCAAATTATTTAAAAGCTTGAGCATTTAGACAGAGATAATTTTGTTATTTATATTATATTCTTAACCAGGTTGGCTCAGCTTTAAGAAACAAACCTGGAAACATAAATATATCGACAATGCTACGTAGCTCAAATTTTGTGGCTCAAAAGTGGCTCAAATGGCCAAAACGACGTCGTTTTGAGTACAGAACAACATAAAAATGACCAAAACGACGTCGTTTTGGCCATTTGAGCCACTTTTAAGCCACAAAATTTGAGCTACGAGACATTTTCCTAAATATAGTGCTAGACACAAAGGACTTCCATTCCAAATGTCCATATCAACTAAGGGACTGATGGGAATAGTTTGAATGACGACTTAAGAACATAATTTATGATAGTCTAATATTACATTAATTTAACTATAATTGTTACAGCTGATGCACCCCACACTATCACCATCATGACTGTATTAAACTATTAAAAGAACAATTAAAATATATCATGTCTCAACCACGGTAGTATAAATCTGCCGATCATGAAAACTAAAGCTGACATGATTGGCCTATCTATAACATGATCCTGAACACAAAAAAGGCTGATATGTATGCATTTTATTACCTAGACCAAGGAACATGAACCAGCCAATGCTCGATCCACAAGAAACTGAACAATGAAATGAGTGCTATTATTTGTCACCATGTTTAGATCACCAATTTCTTCAAACATCAAGGAAAATGAGTGGCAGGCAAGAGGCTTAAGCATTTTCTTCCGAGGCACTATTGTTATATCTTTCTAAAATTTAAGAGTCACAAGCAAAGCAACCAGTGAAATTAGAGAAGAAATTCTATTTTTAGCAGTGATCTTCGTCTGGTGACACATATAATGCTTCTTGAAGATAAATGAAGAGTATTGATCTTTTAATGAACAAGATGGGTAAGAATTAGAAGACATGTATTAAAAAGCAGAAACTGAACCAACCGAAGAGAAAAGTATTCAAGCTTTTGGTAGGCATGTGCTCATAAACTATCAACATTTCTCTCCTTCAATACAGCACCCCAAGAGACTAACAAGATTCCCTTGAGCCTTGATATCATTATGCTGTCATTCTTGAACTCTTCAACGCCTTCTCGTGAGCATCTTTTGCACTGCTATCTCCTGTCCATCTTGTAGATTTCCCTATGTATCCATAAAATTTCTCAATCAACCAATACATACACAAAGTCCACGTCATATGTGCACATAAAATACTTAAGAAAAAAATGAATTACCTTAAAAACTAGTCCAAATCCTCCTTCCCCAAGTTTACATTTTATCCTGAAGTTATTGGTAGCAGCTACTATTTGTCGAAATCAAGAACTGGTAGCTCGTATGTATCATATTGCTCTACTGGGTTCAGTGGGGTGTCTCTGAAGTCTTTAATGTATCATCCAAACCAAAGCTCTTGAGTTTCTTTTCCCTCTTTCTTGATATTGAGATCAGACCATGACAATTTATTCAATTACTTTAACTTCCTTCACGGCTTCAAGGTTATCAAGGATGGGAATAATATTTACAAACCAATAAAATTAAAACCCCCAACCTCCAAAACATATGCATGCACACAACAAAAAAAAAAAAGGGGTTATGTGTGTATACATATGCATACACACATATCTCTATGTATATATATATATATGTATGTAAAAAAACCAACAAGTTATTTTTCATTGTTTAGGTGGCTTCATATATAGATGGGATTTGCTTTAGTACCAAAAAGAACAGTCAAGCTCACCTCCAATTCCGCTGTTTTGTTGAGTTCTTAGCCACTACATGCACAGATATAGCACATGATGGAAATTCAATTTAGCAAGTCGACCAATATCCTATTTTGGAACCCAGATTAGGTCAAACAATTAAAGCAATTCAATTTAGTATTTTGGAACCAGGATTGGGTCAGACAGTTGAACCATCTGGAAGCATTTTTTTTGTGTGTGGATGAACTGAGGACTAGTTTCCAGACACTAGATTTCTACATGAACTATACTAGAAGTATTGATGCATCTTTTGGATTAGAGTTGGCATATTATTTTGCTTTTTTTTCATATCATGATTTCTTTTATTTCCTCTGCTTAACACTGAAGTATATAGATGACAGTTCTTTTACCTCTTTGGTTAGCTTTCCACCAACACAAACCACATATAATCGCAAGCCAGAAGACCATACCAGAAGCAACTGTGAAGCCGATAATGATTCCTGTTCTTGCTTCTTCCCTTTACCTGATTAATAATAATAATAATAATTAAATAAATAAAATCAACTAAGTAGAAAGAGAACGGAAGAAGAAAACAATACTCATTGAAGCTTTAAGGAAAATTGTAATCACCTAGCTTAGCAAGGCGGGGAAAAAGATCCTCCCCATCAAATGAAAACTCTTGATTATCCAAAAATCTCCTGTCCAGATCATACATCCAATTCTGCTCGACTATGAACAGTTAGTCAGGCATTGATATTCACATTCCTCAGCACTTAACGTTCACAAAAATAAAAAGATCTAGCAATTTCAGCACATTCAACTTCCAAAATACGTCATATTTTCCACTCCCCAAGGATGAGTTATTCATGTTGTTCTTAAAAAACAATTCAGTTTTTCTCACACACCCGTTTGACCAATATCCTCTGCTCCATTCCTCCTTTGATTTTGGTACAAATCCTTTTAGGCGCTGACAAATTGGAGACCCATTTTTACTACAAACCTAAAAAGGTCCACGTGCCATAATTTTCACACAAACTCTTTTTTGCCACCCAGAAAACTTTCCATTGCTTTAAACCTTCATCCCAATCAATTAACTTGAGATATCCAGTTGATGTAATTGTCATAATTATAACAGAAGAGCTGTTTAATAAATCGAAAGTGACATACTGATTTACCTGCTGATACTCCAGTGCAAGACGAAAACCACTTTCCAAATATGTTGATTTCATATAAGATATTCCAACAAACTTCAATCCATCCGATGACCCACTTCTCCAAAATGGTGTCGGAACATTCCAAATAAAAGCTTGCAGAGGAGTTTGTGGTGCGATTCCAACAACAAACTCTTCCGTTTGCCAAGAAGACAAGAACCGTTTCTCTCCAGCTCTAGTGTTCATTGCCGGGTAGGAAAGTGTTGCAAGGATGGTTAATGCTCTCCCACAAGATCTCTTCAAGGATTCCCTTTTTCAGGACAAAGTCTCCTGTGTCTAGAAGTACTGCAACAGAAACATTTACAGGGACAGATATGTTGGTTGACCACTTAATGCTTTGATTCCCATCTACAAGCACCAGAGTTTTATCACCACCAATCATTAGACTTGCAGAGGAGTCTGCCAATGTAAGCAGCTTCTCTCTGTTTGCTACCCATACAACTTCCCACACAGATATGTTCTTGTACCATATTCCAACATTTCATTTACCAGAATTTCCGCAACTAAAGAAGCCTAACTCAAAGAATTGGCCAGCAGAAGCAAGAGTCTCTCCTACTGAAAGGTTTTGAGTTTGACTTAAAGTGTCCATTGCAGTGCAACAATGAGCTAGAATAAAGTTGAACATAAGCAATAGGAATGAAACAAATACAATTTTACTAATGTTTCCTATACCCATTTGTGTCTGATGACGTTTGTCCAAAAGACCAAAGATTGAATAATTGGAATGCGGATCAGAGCTATCTGTGGCTACTAAAAACCAAAGGCCATAAAAAAGGCAAGAAAAGGAGTTAAAATTGAATTTCCATATGCACACTGTTGGAAACTAAAGCTGAATGAGACAGCTAAAGAAATACAATGCCGGTCTCTTTACTCCATCCAAATAGAGATGAGCAAAGACGTACAATGCTGGTCCCCAGACTCCATCCAAGCAGAGATGTGTCTTGCCTGGTTGATGAGTAGACAATGCATTCACTTCCATTCAATAGTCTTAACCATTCACTTTGAGGCAAGATCAAGTGTTATGTGTGGTATTCACTAACCGCATAATGCTAAAAAATACCACCACAAACCAAAAAAAAAAAAAAAGAAGAAAAAGTGTGGTCTAAATTCATTTTGTGCATTTCTCATAAAAGTGCAAACGCACAAAATGAATCTAGAAACACAATTTTTTAGGGACAAATTATACCTGTAGTCCCCATAGTTTGTCCATTGGGTCAATTTTAGTCACTGTAGTTCTAATTGTATCAATTTTGCTCTTTAAACTTTTCACATTTTGTCAATTTAGCCCGGTTGATAACAACTATTAAGAAATTAGACAAAAATTGAGAACAAAATGATCTATTCAAAAGGGAATGAACCATTTCAAACTGAATGTTAACCCCTCAATCCCTTTTAGGAGAGTGAATAATAGACTATTCTGCCGTTAGTTTCAATCCAATTTGTAAAGATGCATTATCAATTAGGCTAAAGTAACACAATGTAAAAAATTGATGCAATTAAAACTGTGAGGATCAAATTGGTACAACAGATAAACTACAGCAACTTCGAGTGCAATGTTGTCCTTTTCACTCTCTCTCTTTTTTTTTTCTTTTTTTTTTTCAATTTGTGACAAATCCATCGTTAATTCTTGTTGCTCTTTTTCTTTGAGAATGCAATACAAACATGTAACACAAAAGAGAGAACATTATTATATTTTTATTAGCTAAATGAAAAGGAGAGAACATTATTTCAAGTAGACAAAACATCAAACATCTTGCAAGCAACTTCCAAAACATAGGCTTATTTTTATTTATTTATTTATTTATTTATTTCCATATAAGAGGATCTAATTAAAGAATAATAAAGACTAAACAATGACAACTATGGGTAAAATGAATCTTTATTTTTCAAAATCCTAACATAATAGCCTCATATTTTTTGATATATATGTAACCAAACAAAATTTGAGAAGTTGGTATAGAATTTGATTTCATCTTTTTGCTTTCATTTTTTTTAATCAACCATATAAGAAAATATAATAAGATAAACGGCAAGCCCAACACTATCAACTATTACAAGAAAGAGTCCATAATAGGAAAGAAATAAACAACAAAGCAAAGGTCCCCTAATAACTAGTAATTAATTACTCATTACCTATGATAAGAATTGACCGCTTGAGATTGTATAAGCGTGACTACCTAAACTAACCCAATTGATTTCATCTTTGAACTTTACTAGGTCAATTTGTAAAATTTTAGAAAGTCAGCTTTTTTTTTTGTTCTTATGTTCAGCGGGGTCAATATGTCAAATCTTAAAACTTCAGATATTAATATACACTTTAAAAGATTTTGTAGCTTCCGCCCATGATTGCATTGTTACCATTCGTTTTTTTGTGATCAAATACACAACTTCAGTTTTTATTTCTTTTTTTTTTTGGGTAAGTTACACATACCTCTCCAAACAGTAGGCAAAAATATACCTGAATAAGAAAATTACACCAGCTCCGACTTCATTTCAGAAGCGAACCTGGAAAGAAATTTAGAGGTAGACACAAGCAACTTCCATTCCAAATTTTCATATCACCTAAGGGACTGATGGGAATAGTTTGAATGAGGACTTAAGAACATCATTCATGACAGTCTAATATTACACTAATTTACTATCATTTGCTGCAACATACTGTCACCATCATAACGACTGTATTAAGATATTCGAAGCACAATTAAAATATACCATGTCAATTATCATACTAAATCTGCAAAGGAAAACCCTGAAAGCATGGGAGTTCATTGAATAACAAAGCGTATTTTGGATATGGGTCATCGTCCTTCAAGCATTGATACAGTGACCTCATTTACGGAGCATATGTTTTTATTTTGAGATTGAAGATCTGATCCCAAGGTAAATGTAGGTTGTTTTGGTTGTGGACCATCTATTTCACTGGTTAGCATGCGAGCTATACTCGACATGGTTGGCCTATCTGCAGCATTGTCTTGAACACAAAGAAGAGCAATATGTATACATCTCATTACTTCCGGCAAGCAACATGAATCAACCAATGCTTGATCCATGAAATCCAATGCCCTTCCCTCATTCCACAAGTGCCACACCTGAAACAATACAAAATTGTCAATGCGAGAATAAAATGACCAAATAGCATAAAAAACATTATGTCAAAGTGTCATTTAGTAACTTTTACAGTTAACTATTTTTGTTTACAGAAAATACTAATCATGTTTATATTTCTTTTTGGTAGAACTGTACACAAAAACATATCTGGTGCACATATATTTAAAAATTTTATTTTAAAAATAAGTGAGAGAGGTTGCTAGTCAAAGATGGTGGCTAGAGGTAATTGTCGGCAACTAGAGATGGTGACCAAAGGTGGTTGTTGGTCAATAGAGGTGGTTTCTGACAAGAAGTGGTTGTCGGTAGGAGGTGGTTGTAGGTTTCCAGAGATTGCAGCCGAAAGTGATTGTCAAACGCGAGAGTTAGTTGCTAGAAAAGTGACTACCCACGGTGGCTAGACATGTGGTAGTTGGTAGTGGCCTCAGGGCGTGTGAGAAAGAGAAAATGATTTTTTTTTTTTAAAAATTTCTAAACAAGTGAAACTAACTTTTTCGTATTTACAAAAATTTAATAAAATTTGTAAACTATTTTCAAGTTTTTAAAACAAAAATAGGTAACAAATGAGTATTCGTTTACAATTATCAAAATGTTTATAAAAATAAACAAAAATTTGTAAATATAAACATTACCAGACACTAAATATTTGAAATTCCAAATTAGGGTGAGATAGTGGACTTACATAACCAAGAAGGCTTGTATATTGTTCATCATGAAAACTGGTGTTCTTCCTGCCACAAATAATCTCTAATAGCAGGACTCCAAAGCTAAAAACGTCTGACTTTTCAGAAAATATCCCTCTCAATGCGTACTCAGGAGACATATACCCACTACATTTCATTAAGATATGGCAATGATTAGCACTTGAATATCACATGGTTCACACCATTTTAACATTGCTAGATATTCAAAATAGAGTTTCACAACTAAGAATTATGTGTTGATTGTCTGTTTTAATCCCTCAAGTCGTTCATTTATACTTTTGATGCGATTCAATTCAATTCAGTGAAAAATGTAGTACTACAAGCATGGGATATTTTAAATAAATGAAGGAAAGAAAGCATTGCTTACATGGTTCCCGCAGGCCTATGAGTATTTGCTAGTTGTTGTGTACCACGAAATGTTCTTGCCAAGCCAAAGTCTGATATCTTTGGGTTCATATCTTTATCCAGAAGAATATTGCTAACCTTCAGATCTCAGTGAATAATTTTTAAACGAGAATCGCGATGAAGATATAGAAGTCCTCTAGTAATGCCTTGAATAATGTTGAAGCGTTTTGTCCAGTCCAGATGTCCTCTTTTTGTTGCATCTAAATTACATGTCAATTGAAACTTCATCAAAGTTAAAGACTAGTGTGCCAATATTTTATATGAGAAATGAAGTAATATACAAATGCAAAGTTTCAACATTGTTGTATGAATAGTAATGAATAACTTTTATAAAACTGACTGGCAGAATTTTAAAAGGGTAAGGATTTAGAGAAGAGTTCATCAATGTGGTACTTCAAAGAAAACAAAACTGATATATCTGAAAGTTTAGAAATGCAGACCTTTCCCATTTGCTACATTCAAACTCCGGATTGTAAAAGAAACTCCCCACCATAATCATACCATTTGTAAAATAGTGGAGAAGAAAAGGAGTGGATCTTGGTCTGATGACACATTCAGAGCAACCACTGAAACTAACTAGAGAAAAAAATTTGTGATCTTGGTATGGTGACACATTACACTACTTGGAGGCATATGAAGAGTAGCAGCAAATATCACCAATGGTCTTTGTAATTTCACCTTTGTTTCAATTTGGTTGGTCCCAGTCATTTTAATTGCAACACATTTGACTTTTTGAGTTTGTCACTTTGTGTCAATTAAGAACAATTGAAAATAGCTCTTAAATTATTTATATGAAAAATGGTCATTCGCATTGTACATGACCAATTTTTTAAGGTAATTTAGACATTAAAACACTTGCTCAACTAACTCAATTACAAACCCACCATGACCCTGTAAGATTTCTGAATAGCTTTCTGTATCTCATATATTCAATGTGTATCAATTACAATCAGACCTTAGAATATATATAGCCCTAACTCCTAAACCAAAAAGGAAATACAAATAAAATACTATCATGACTCCAATACAATCATGCCTCTAATAGGACTCTTAAGTTTAATTTGTAAGACTCACAATATATTTCACAATATATTCTCACACCCCCGCTCAAACTTAAGGTGTTTTAGTAGAAAACACAGAGAGTTTGCTAAGAAGAAACTGAAACAGAGCAGTAGTGTAAGTCTTGGTGAAGAAGTCCGCAAGTTGCAAAGTTGAAGGGATGAAAGGAAACGAGATAGAGGCAGACTGCAGATGTTGGTGAACAAAGTGACAATCAATCTCAATGTGTTTTGTCCGCCCATGGAAGACAGTATTGTGGGCAATCTGAACAGCACTGCGTTTGTCACAATAGAGGGAGGTCGGAGAAGACTGAGAGACACCCAAATCAAACAAAAGACAACGAAGCCGAACAATCTCAGCAGTGGCATGAGCCATAGCATGATACTCAGCTTCGGCAGTAGAGCGGGCAACGACTGATTGATTCTTACTTTTCCAAGAGATCAAGGAATCACCAAGAAACATACAGAAACCAGACGTAGACTTGCGATCAGTAACATCACCAGCCCAATCAGAGTCAGCATAGACCACCAAGTCCAAAGAGGAAGTAGAGGACAATAGTAAGCCTTGAAATATGGTACCCCTGAGATAGCGAAAAATACGAACCAAGCCCAATGGGTAAGGCGAGGAGCAAAAACGAACTAACTAACCACATGAACAACATAAGCAAGATCAGAGTGAGTAACCGTCAGATAAACTAAACAACCCACAAGCTCACGATATAAAGTAGGATCA